TATATGTTTTAAATGCACACAGGAACCCCATTCCTGCTCATTCTCAGGAGCTTTCCAAATGATTCCTAGACACACCTAGAAGGTGGTGGGCTGACTAGGAAAGTGAAGGGCACGTGCACCCGTTGTGGGGGGGCCTTCTTGGCCTGGGAGCCGCGCCACCCGGGAGCGCAAGCTGCATCTAGGGGCCATCAGAGTCACGCAGCTCACCGGGTGCGGAAAGCCCTGGCACCGGCGCCCTGCTGGGAGCGCCTCCCCTCGCCCTTCACTGCGCGCAGAAACCCTGCGCAGGGCCGCGGTCGGATTCGGGTCACACCACGCGGGGCGAAGGTGCCGGGCCGGCTGGGGACGCTGCCAAACGCGACCCTGGAACCATTCTTCTGGCTTCCCCGCACTCACCATGGCTACAGGATCTCAGGACGAAAACCGGCCGTGGCGACAGGAACACAGCATCACCGAGGCCGCCAACCGGTTACTCCGGGGACAGAGCCCCGCCCATCTGGGCCCCGCGCTGGAAGCACAGAGTCCTCAGTTCCGCCCAAGCAGCGGGTGGGCCTGCCCCTTCAGGTGTCACCAAGGCAACGAACGCGCCTTCTTCTTTCCTCCGTCCGCACTTCCGTTCAATTGACAGATGACCCGGAAGTTCAAGCTAGTAAGCGGCTAGGCTCCATATATTGTTATGTTTTACTTTTAAATATGCTCCTGTGCACTTCTCGCTTACAGAGGTGTTACACTGTATTTTCAATGTCTCTCGAGTTTAAGCGCACCACAGAGTATTGTCTTTCTCTTCTGGAAAAGCCTTCCGGAAACGAAACCCTGAGTAACCGGAAGTGGCGGGCGGGGCGCCCCGGAGTCCGGAAGGCCCGGGGCGCGTCAGGTGGGAGGGGAGCCGGTCTAGCGAGCCGGTGACGCGGAACCCACGGCCTGCGACGCGGAACCCACGGCCTGCGACGTGGAACCCACGGCCTGCGACGTGGGGCCGCCCGGAATCGGGAAAGAAGGGTCTCGGCGCAGGTTCCTGAGCCGGCTTAGGTAACTATGGGAGGGCACGGGGTTCTCGGTCGCGGGAGGAACGGGGGTCGACCTCCCGGGCCGGCCTGCGGTTGCGGGTCTCCTGCGTCCAGAGCCGGGGCCGGCGGCGAGAACGAGCCCGCGCATTTGGGAAACCGGTCAGGGGCCTCCGCGCTGCTTCGCGTCGGGTCCCGCCGGTGGCCTGGCGTGGCCACGCCGGCTGTCATCGAGCCTGCCGTCCGCCGCGTTGAGGGCCCCGCGAGCCCAGGGTAGTCCCGGGAGCCTGTGCGGACGTGGCTGGAGGCGCGGTGTGCATCTTTGCCCTTAGGAACTGCATCATTTTGACTGTCTTACCAAAAAGGGCAAACTGAATTATCTTGAGTAGTACTTTCGTTGCTTCTTAAACGTGTAGACGGATGCGCCTTGTGTCTCCTGGGGGAATAAGTACTTTAAAATTCCTGTTGTCCTATCAGTGGTATAAAAGCTCTTTCAGTAACTTAAGCGTTTCCAAAATTCAAGACACACCTCTGGCAGTTTAGACTGTACTGGTGAGGATGGTAAAACGGCATCTACAAGTAAACTATGCCGAATTTTTTTATCACCTGTGAGAAGGGAATGTGGAGATTATTTCCCTAAGTGCTTGGGTTCTAAAAACAGAAGTAATTAAAATACACATTTTTAACTACAGGCATTTATCAAATGTGTTTATATGATATCATTTTAACTCTCTTCTGTGTATACGTTTTTAGGTTTTTTTCCAGTGGAAGTCTTGAAATACATTTTCATTAAAGAAAAAAAAAAAATGGCTACTCTTAAAAGTTTAGAAACCAAAGGTAAGTGTCCTTACTTTGATGATACCTGTTTTTAAGACATGAAATTTATGATATGAAGGAATAATTCAGCCAGTTGAGTAAATCTCATAGATTCCTTGGGAATCATTTGTGTTTCAGATCTCTTCATGTTTAATTAGTAATTCAACTTTTATATTTCAGTACTTCAGATAAACCTTAACATCATTAGGTGGTATTTGTTGGATGATTACTTACTTTTAAAAGTTTAGTGTAACAAAACTGACTTGAACAATGTATTACCTATCCACTAGAAGAACAGGATTTAAATAAACAAAAATAAAGTATACCAGCAAGGCTACACTCTGAGTAGGCATTAGGAAAAGATCTGGGTTCCTTTCCTTGGGGTTTGCTGACACTCTTTGATGCTCCTTGGCTTTTCCATCCTCGGTTTACGTGGTGTTCTCTCCGTGTGCATTTTTCTGTATCCAACTTTCCCCTTTAATAAGGGCAGCAGTCATATTGGATAAGTGACCCACCCTACTCCTGTATGATTTCATCTTAACTATATTTGCATGATCCTTTTTCCAAATAAGGCCTCATTCTGAGGTACTGAGGTTAGGACTTCAGCATAAGTATTCGGGGGATACAGTTCTACCTATAGCACTTGGCCGTGTTCACTAGTCAGCTTGTAGTCCTGCTTTGCTTGTAATATTCTTAATCATTCCCTACCTTTTTTAATATTTTTATTTTTTTTTATGTGGTGCTGAGGATCAAACCCAGTGCCTCACATGTGCAAGGCAAGCGCACTGCCACTGAGCCACAACCTCGGCCCCATTCCGTACCTTTTGAAATTCATTCTTTCCATGACTTCCAAGCTACCACTGTGTTGTCAGTCTGCTCTTTACTGCCCAACACAGTAACCACATGTGACTATTTGAATTTAAATTAATATTTTTAAAAAATCAACATTTAGTTCTCAGTCATATTAGCTACAACTGTTTTAGTCAGCATTTTTTTTTCCCTGCTGTACCAAAAGACCTGACCAGAACAATTGAGGTCTCAGTCCGTAGATAGCTGACCCCATTGCTGTCGACCAGAGGTGAGGAAGCACATCATGGTCGAAGGTGTGGCAGAGGAAAACAGGTTATAACATGGAACCAGGAAGCAGAGAAAGAGAAAGAAAGAGATAGCTGTATTCTCCAGGGACAGAAATATATACCCCAAAGGCACACCCCCAATGACCTACCTCCTCCAGCCATGTGCTACCTGTTTAAAGTTACTACTCAATTCCTATCAAGGGATTAATACACTGATTAGGTTAAAAGTCTCATAATCATTTCACTACTAAACTTTCTTGCATTGTCTCACACATGAGCATTTGGGAGATAGCTCATATCTAAACCATCACAGCCTCCAAGTACTTAGTAACCAAATGTGGCTGGTAACTCTGATATTTCTATCATTGCCAAAATTCTTTTGGATATTGCTGCTGTAGCAGTATCTCCTCTATTTTTCAGACTCCTCTCTGGTTTATGTTTTAAATATCAGTGTTTTTCAGCTCTCTTTCTCTTCTACTCTCAGAGTTTCTATGATTAATTATCTGTAAGAACAACTTCCAAATTTATCAGTAGCTCAGATCTCTCCTCTTGAGATTTAGAATTTTATAGACAACAATTATTTTTTCTTAGATATAGACAACAATCTTGACATGTCCCAAAGTAAACTCCTGACCCAGCTCATTTGGGGAATAGAGTCAAGTTCTTCCTGCCAGAGCCTTTAATAAGAGATAGGAAGCAGTTTTCTAGAAGCAAACTTTTCAGGAAGCATATTTCCAGTAGCAAATTCTATTTATTTCAGTCCTTAAAAAGGGATATAGTAGCTTAGTGGTTCAGCACTTGCCTAGCATATGTGAGGCACTGGGTTCGATTCTCAGCACCACATATAAATAAAATAAAGGTACATTGACAACTAAAAACAATTTAAAAAAATAAAAGAAAAAAAAGGATTCAGATATGTTCAGGAAACAACAAAGAAAGGTCACACTAATAAGTACTTAATTGAATTTAATATAGCTAGATGCAACAACTGTTCCTTTCACAAGTCACTAAAACAGCTAAAAAGTATTAGAATAAGTAAATCAAAGACTAATCAAAGTAATAAACTGGGAATAAATGGGAAATAAAAGCAATTAAAATGATAACTAATGTGAAAACAACTAGCATAGCATTTAGCAAAAATTATGATTAGTGATTAAAAGCTTGTTCTTGCAGTGCCTCTGAAAGTGTTATTTTTATTGTTATTGTAATGAGGATTAGAGTTATAAAACAGCACTTTCATATACTTTATTTCATTTGATCTTCATTATCTAATAAGGAAGACAATCCAACCACTAGTGCTATTCCTACTTAATATAATGCTAACAGTGAACAAAAGTTACTTGTATTGCATAGCCTGAGAAGACATGTACTTAGGTTTGACCTTGTCAGTTGTCTGCATATCCTGTACCTGCCTCAGGTGACCTGCCTCAGGTGAGAAACATGGTTATGTTCTCGATCATTGGTTGTTTGGTTTCATACTAGAACTTCCTCTCGGAAGACATATGAGCAATACTGACATCATTAGAGTGATATATCATTGCTGCTAGAGCTTTTCTAAAGGAAAAATCTGTCAGACTGTAACTGAGTTAGGAATTAATGGTTCAGCGTAAAGGAAAAACATAAGCACTTTTTAAAGGAATTAGTTATTGAACATACACCTGAAATCTTCCAGATGTGTGTAAAAGATTGATAAGCTTCATTAGCACTTACTCATTGTCTCCGTGCCAAGCACCATTTCTGTAGCTAGTGATATAAAAAATAGGAAACATTTCTACCCTAAGAAGCTTTCAATAGTTTAGTCTGCAAGAGAAACAAATTATCCTAAAATACTGTAGTATTTCCCTTTTCTGAAAGCTCCAGGGGATGGGAAGAGGGTGTAGTTGAGTGATTTATCCAAGTTTAAACAATACATAGCAATGGGGACTTTTACATTATTCTGACTCAGGGTCTGATGGCAGGGGGGACTTAAATTCTGATGCGGTCTGGTGTTCCTTCTCTCCCTGCTGACTTTTTTTGTTTGTTTGTTGTGTGTGTGTTTTTTTTTGTTTTTTTTTTTTTTTTGATTGATTGAGTATCTTTCTCTGTAGATTCACAATATTATGAATAAATGACAGTATTTGTTCAATAACAGATTGTAAAATCATACTTTTTGCCTAAATATTCTGGAGCAAGGATTGGCAAATGTGGCTCTTGGGCCTCCTTGAAAATGGTTGTGATCAGACTGATGATAGGGAACAGTAACTTTGAGTTCCACATAAATCAGATGTTATCCTAAGTAAAAAGATTCCTGCTGTTTTCATAATTAAATCTATAGTACCAACTCTATTCCATAATCATTATAGTTTGAATTTCATCAATAATCATTGCTTTTTCTCTTGTGTGTTACATACCTAACTAGAATCCTTGCTTTTACTTCCTAATTCACAAAGCCAGAAATATTTATTCTCTGGCCCTTTACAAAAAATGTTGCCAACCTCTACTCTAGAATGTTATAGACTAGCAACCTTATTTCTTATGTCCTTATATTTCACCAAAAAGAGTGAGGCATGAAATTTAGATATGATTTAGTTTGCTGGTAAGTGATCACAGGTGGAGGTAGTGTTGGTGAGTACCATAGTGGTGGTCTTGTTGATTCCCCTCAAAGAGTGCAGAAAAGCAAGGGATGATGTTTTGCTTTACTCAAACATCACTCATAATTATGGAGGTGGTACCATAGGGTCTTGAGAGAAGGTAATTGCTCATGAATGTGCCCTAGATTATGCCAGTACATATGTAATAAAGGTATCTATGTGTGTCACAGGGAAAATAGAATTATGAACGGTAAGCTACCAGATGAGAAAATGTCAAGCCCTGGCTCTCATTGCCAGCTTGCCCTTGCATGTTAGCTAGAATCAGTTGTGAGACAGAGCTGCCATGTGATAACGTAGCACAACCTTGATATTCATAAACCTTGAGTGAGTAGAACAGTTCAAATAAAGTTAAGAATAAATTTAGCCAGGCGCAGTGGCACACACCTGTAATCCCAGCAGCTTGGGAGGCTGAGGCAGGAGGATCATGAGTTCAAAGCCAGACTCAGCAAAAATGAGATGCTAAGCAACTCAGTGAAACCCTGTCTCTAAATAAAATACAAAATAGGGTTGGGGATGTGGCTCGGTGGTTGTGTGCCCCTGAGTTCAATCCCTGGTACCGCCAAAAAAAGAAAAAAAAACTGTTCTGACTTGTGTAGAAATCCTATTCACCTGTGGTCAAAGTATCACACCTGCTTGTCGTATCTTCATCCTCAGTGGGCCTGAGTGCCATGGCTCTCGTAATCTTTTTCTTGTTGTTTTTATTAATCCTTAATAAATAGTTGATTCTAAGTTCTCGAATGCCAGAATGTCTTATTAATAAAATAAAATTCACATTAAGTAAAGTTAAGACAAAACCAGATTTTAAGAACATGAGAATAGTTTTTTTATTTTTAAAGTAGTTCAGTGGATATTCTAGCAAGTGCTAATAAGCTACAGCATGTTTTAAATAATATACAGATCCTTTATCTCACTTTCTGAAATGCTCACTTGCTTATCTTTATGAAATTCAAGTCAGTCTCAAAGATCCCAAAAGTGTTTATATTTCATATTGAATTGGCACTATTTTATTCTAGTGTACATATTTTATGAATAGAGCACATTAAGTCCATCCCAGATTTCTTTCTCCCTCCCCTCTAATGTAACATGAAATTCCTAAGACCCCCAAAGTTTGTCAGGAATTTCTTTAAAGAAGAATAATGATGATCACAGTAGGCCCTAATATTTAATGAGTGCTTATTGTGCCAAACACCATTCTAAACACTTCACATGTGTTCTTATTTACTTTTAAGAATTGTATTAAATCATAGGATTGAGCATGTCAAAAAAGTAAAACTAAATAAGAACATAAGGAATAGACTAATAGATTATAGATTGATTTTTGAAGACAGTTTGGCAATACAGATCTTCACCAGACCCATTATTGGTAATTTATTTGAAAGAAATAAGTACAAGTCAGTTATGGTAGTGCATTCCTATAATCCTAGCCGTATGGTAGGGTCAGGCAGGAGAATTGGTTGAACTCAGAAGTTCAGGGCTAACCCTCATAATATAGTGATAGGTTGTCTCAAAAAAGAAGGAAAGAAAGAAGAATGAATCCAGAAGTCGAGAGGTTGAGGCATGAAAATGTTCACTAAACCATTATATAATAACACTATTTATTATAGTGAAAATTTGATAAAAGCAAGTATCCAACAATATAATAAGTGAATTCTAATATAAACATGAAGCCCTATATTATAGCCATAAAATGAAAAATATGAAGATTATAGCAAAAGAGAAAAATAATGTTAAACTTATAAAATTTATTATGATTACGATTTATTATGATTATAAAAATATCAAAGTAGTTTGATATAATAAGTATTTTATAGTGATGATAACATAGGTAAATTTATTCTTGTTAATATCTTTAGTAATGTATATTTTAAAAATAGTAATAGAAACCAAAGATGTGTGACTGTGTGTGAAGACAATCTGTTCTATTTAGTAGTTTTTGTATCTGTGTAATGAAGTTTGGAAGAGGAAGAAAACTGAGTTTAGTAAAAGTAGACCTAACAAAGAAACCTCAGGAAGTTATTCTGGTTAGATATTTCCTTTGCTTAAAACACCTTGGCAGGTAACTTTTGAACTTTCTTAACATTGCCCCAAGAATGCTTACCTTTTTTATGGTGCTTTGGCCAGAGAACTCCATTTCAGGACCGTAATTCTAAGAAAGAGGGTGACAACACAGTCTGCTTCAGTTTGGAATGTTCACAAATTATATCTCTCTCAATGTGGCTTTGGACATCAGAAACTCCAAAGAGGTTTAATTTTAGTAAGACCTTATTATTGTTCTTACCAAGCTCAATGAGTATGGTTACAGTGAAGTGTGATTTATATTTGATATAGTAAGATATTTTATTTAGTAATAATCAAAACTAAGGACATACTTGTGCTTTTTTTTTCTTACTAAGAATTCTGTTTCAGGTCTTTGTCTTAGGAGATTACATTATTTATACCAGTTATTATTTATATATTGAATATATAACATTACTATATGTTATTTACATAATTTATACACACACGAATATGAGATTTGGCTAAACAGTAATGAAGTCACTAAAGAGCAATCAGTAATTCATGATTGACTTTAATGTTTTTGTAGAAATAAAATTTCTATCAAAATATACCTTTATTGCATGTACCTCACTATACATTACCCTGTAATACATTTTTTAAAAATATTTATTTTTTACTTGTAGTTGGACACAATACCTTTATTTTATTTATTTATTTATTTTTATGTGGTGCTGAGTATTGAACCCAGGGCCTCACACGTGCTAGGTAAGCACTCTTTCACTTAGCCCCTACCCTTTAATACATTTTATCTTTTTTATTTCCTTTTTGTGGTAATAAGGAATTAATCCAGGGCCTCATGGATGTTAAGCACAGGCTCTACCACTGATCTATATTTCCAGTACTCATTTTGTCTTTTCAGGTGAATATCCTGTCTCTTAAATTAGATAGTACTTCTTCCCAATGAAGTGGTCAGCACTGCCTCAGAATGTCTGAACTCTATAAGGCACTCAGCACCATGTTCGCTACCTATAATCATCAGAGTTCATTATTATGATCATCGTTGCTGACCTGTGTGCTTGTCCTCTACCCTTTCCATATTCTCATTCATATCTTTTTCGTCATAAATTTGTTATTACTCATGTGTGTATTGAGTATTGTGTACAAGTACTTCATGGGGAATATAGTATACCTAAAAATAAGTTGACAGCCACTGGAAGAAACAGAACACCAGTAAAATAATTTGAATATGGTATGGTGAAAGTGAGTTCTGTAGAAGTTTAATCTGACAGTACAATGTTTCAACTTCTGTAAGCAACACTTAAACCCTTAGGTTTAAAAATATGACTCAGTCTTTGCCTAATCAGTTCTCCAGTTTAACATGTTTTTCTTTACCCTTGTGCAAAGCATTCCTTGCCAGGAGGTCACAAAAAAACTTGAATTTGTTTTGAGGTACATAAATGGTTTGTAAATGTGTACATGGAAAGCTGATACTTATTTTATATTTAACTAAAATTATCATCTACCATGTGCCAAGCACTTGATCTTATTACATTCTTTCTTACTACACCTTATAATATCTTTCCTAATTTCCATTTTGCATATTAGGATATAGAGATTAATGGAGAATTAAATTATTTATCTAGATCCCCAGCACCAAAAAAAAATTATTGACCTAGGATCATATTAAGAAGAAGTCCAAATCAAATGTTGTGATTCCAGTTGTCTTGCATCTTCTTCCGAGAGATGCACTTAGACAGTTTGAGCCTGGAAAACTCAGTTCCTTGACAAATGGTTGTTTGGAAAATTACTTTTTACTCTGAATGTTTTCCTTTTTAAAAAAAATTTTTGTAGTGCCAGTAAGTTTGAATGTAAAAAAAAAGCAGTCTTGGCATTTCCTTAGCATTTCTTTCTAGTAATTCGAGTTTTGTTTCTCCTTTCTTAGTCACCCTTACTTCAACCCCAATCCGAGGAGCAGGAGATGGAATGGAAACAGAAGAGCCACCTACATCTATTGAAACCACCTCTGGAGTCCAGTCCATAAAGCATCACATCCTTCAGAATCCACGGAAGAAAGCAGCTCCTTCAGAGAACCCAGGAGTTCTTCAGCTGGGAAAGATTCTCTCTGAAAAGGCAGTGGAGGTAGAAGCTATAAGAATACGTGTTCCCAAAACTGCTATAACTCATGATATCCCCAACAAAAATGGAAAGGTTAAATCTCTAGGATATCATAGAGGAGAATTTCATGGTCAGCCTGAAGGAGTTATAGAACCTAGAAAGGAACTCTCTGAGGTGAAGACTATATTGGAAGAGCTCAAGAACTCTGAAAGAAGGTTACTACAAGACAAAGAAGGTCTTTCAAACCAGCTCCGAGTACAGACAGAGGTAAGATTGGCCTGAATCACTTGAATGGGGGGCAACTTTTTACACCTGGACCTTCTAAGCCTGGATAGGAAACTACTTTTCTTCGTGGAAATGTCATTTATCATAGGTTATCATTTCTTTAAAATTTTTCCTCTTATATTTCTCATTCTCTCTGAGGGCTTCTAGAGGGTTGTTATTGGGAACTTATACTAAGCCTTATACTTATACTAACTTATACTAAGGATGGATATGTGAGATGCTTATAAAAGTAGGTTTTAAAGGTAGGTTACAGTTATAAAGTGCCAAACCAAAGGGTGACCAAATCAATCTATAGTGCTTGATGGTGTTGCTGTGATCTTTACGTCTTAGTAAAATTGCCTTAACTCTCCCTTGTTTCTCTATTGGACTGTGTCTTTTTTGCCAGATACTAGTCTTGTGACACCATAATGATTCTTGTCCAACTGTATTAATGTATTTAATAATACACATAAACGTGTAATTTAAACACACATAATATATTTAATAGTATATTTAATATATAAACACAAACATATATATATATTTATAAATTTTGGGGGAGGGGACTGAGTCATATCCCCACTAAGCCACACTCCCAGCCCTTTTTCATTTTTTATTTTAAGACAGGGTGTCACTAAGTTGCTTAGGGGCCATGCTGAATTTCTAAGGCAGACCTGGAACTTGCAGTTCTCCTGCCTCAGTCTCCTGAGTCGCTGGGATTATAGGCATGCACTACCACACCTGGTAATAATATATTTTAAATATGTCTTTAACCAATTTCTAAGTACAAAAGTAGTACATTCTTATTAGATCTTAGTATTAAGATATCTGACAAAGTTTGTCAGAGTACTTCATATATTATTGAATGTACAGCTCTTTCTCCTATTGATGGTCCTACAGTCTCCTGAAGTAGAGAAATGATATAAGGAACCTCTCCTTCAGAATCACTCCTACAATGTTTAAGACCACATCAAAACTGAACTTAGATATCTGGTAAATAATAAACATTTTTTACACTAGAGAAAAACACAATGAAAATGGTACCACCCATAACTACACTATTGAGATATGGGCGCTGGGTTCGATCCTCAGCACCACATAAAAATCAAATAAAGATGTTGTGTCCACCAAAAACTGAAAAATAAATATTAAAAAATTCTCTCTCTCTCTCTCTCTCTCTCTCTCTCTCTCTCTCTCAAAAAAAAAAAAAAATAAATCTGTGACATTTCTTTGAGCTTATTGTATTTGTTATGTTCTTCTAGGTAAATCGTGAGTTAAAAAAGTTGTTGGTGGCTTCTGTGGGGGATGATCTTCAGTATCACTTTGAACGTCTAGCCCGTGAAAAGAATCAGCTTATTTTAGAAAATGAAGCCCTAGGTCGAAACACAGCTCAACTCTCCGAACAGTTAGAACGTATGTCCATACAGTGTGATGTGTGGCGTAGTAAATTCCTCGCAAGCAGGTATTTTCTATTCTAAATAGTATTTCATTTACTAGTTTTTGTTATCAGGTTTTCAAACCATAATACAAGAAAGTAGATTATAGTACAAAAATTTCTGAGATTGTACTTCATACATCATTTAATATGTGGCTTTCACACAATCTCCCTGAATGGGAAAATAATAGAAGGATCCTTTCTCAGTCTGGAAATCACTTCTCTTGCAGGGTTTAAGATCAAAACAAACCTGTAAATTCAGATATCTGGTAAATATTAAAACTAAAAAAGGCAAAACTACATTTTTTTTTCCACCTTCTATCTGGAGAACTCTAATATTGTTCCCACTGCCTAAGAGGACACTGTCCATGTCCTGTTCTTATAGATCTTTTGTCTATATAAGAGAGCTTCCCAACCTTTTTCTTTCCATCATAAGTAAAAAAAAAAAAAAATACAACATTTGTATGGCATATTTCATGAGGCTACTGTCTAACAGGTAATAAACCAGGTCTGAATCTAGGTGTCTGGACTGGTTGGGAAACTCTGCTATATATCTATTGACTCTTTGTTTATCCCTGTTGACTTTGAGTTACTGGGGACAAGATCTGATGTTATTCATCTCTGTATTTCTAATGCTTAGAAAAGGACTTTTTATGTTTAACAATTACTGATTTAAATTGAATCATCTAGAAAATTTTCACAAAACACCCAAAGGTTTCCATGTTATACTTTAAGAACCACGTATTTTTTCAGGTACTAACATCTCTCATACTTTCTAGTACTTGATTGTTCTTAAAGTTCTTCATTTATTTGTTTTCTAGTTGTGCTAGTATAGTATGCTATTTGAAGAAATGAATTTACTAGTATTGACTTAAATTGAAACATAGTTCTTATTAAACAGTTTAAGAGGCAAATCATGCATATGTCATACAGGTTATTGCAGTATGTAACTTTCTTAACATCCTGATCAACACCTGTGATCACATTCTAAAGACAATAAAAATTAATATTTTAGTTGATTTAACCTATTAATGTCAAAATTGTTTTCCTTTTAAGGAATTCAGTAATAAGTATGGTCTGAAACTTTAAATTTTAGTGTTAAATTTTCAGCTGAAACTATACTTTAAAATTTGCTTCAGTTTCATCAGTAGAGTTGGTCAAATAAAATGTAGTATTTACAATCACTAGAAAACATGAAGTTGGTTCTTCAAAACTGTAAATGAGTTGGGCCAATAATCAAACCACTCAGGAGGCTATGGCAGTAGGATCACAAGTTGAGACCAGCCTGGACAACTTAGCGAAACTCAAGTCTCAAAAGTAAAACTTTAAAAAAGGCTAGGGTTATAGCTCAGTGCATGTGCAAAGCCCTGGGTTCGATCCCCAGTGCCGCAAAAATAGAAAACTGGGAATAAGATAGTGTTACATGTGCTCATGTGGAAAAAGCTCCAAAATTAGTAAGTTAAAAAAGCAAGGTATGGTAACTTTGTATTAAATAATCCCATTTTTTAAACTGTGTTTATTTTTAACACATACTTTTATGTTGAAATATACATGATTTTTGGTAAAAATGTGTAAGAAACTTTTATGTTACATATAAAAGGATGGTCATGCTAGGCAAGAGGAAAGACTTAGTTTTCATCTTATAGAAACCTTTCTATTTTTCTAAGGGCAAATTATAATTGAGTAATACAAAAATAACTCATTTTTATCTTCCTCTTTAAATTTTTCTGTATTTAAAAATGTTTTATTTATTTTTCAAATATGATTAATCTGGAATAAGATTGGGGTAAATTCAAAAGTTATTGTATAGAAAAATTAAGTGTTTCCTTTGTCATTTTACAAATATTTTAACTGAATCCCTTTAATGAGCTCTAAGCTCATAAACCTTTTTAAATTTAAAATTTTCACTAAAAAAATTTTAAAACAAGACAGCTGACTATGTTAAATCTTCTTTGTTTGTTTTTGAAAATGCCAGTTACAAAGCAGTATGTTAATTTTTCTTTACAGTTTTATTATCAGAGAATTTGTATGTGAAATTTTAATCTGTTCTAGGGTAATGGCAGATGAGTTAACCAGCTCCAGAGCAGTTTTACAGCGTCACAATCGTGATGCACAAAGTGCTATACAAGATCTCCTGAGTGAACGGGAGCAGTTTCGTCAAGAAATGATAGCTACCAAGAAGTACGGAGCTTGTTTACATACTGAACTCTTCTGGTTTCTCCTGAAGTTTTTGTTGCTGTGAAAGGTTTTTTTTGTTTTGTTTTGTTTTGTTTTAAATGTGTCTACATTTGATAACTTACTGAACATATACTTTAAGTAGCACTTTAAAATGGATGTCTTGGGAGGTAGGAGGCCTAAAATATAGACATGCTTCTTCACCTGTTCTTAATTAGGGAAATGATTATTTATACCAGTAATAGAAAAAACATATGGAATTAAAAGCTGATTTGGATGGTAGTTTTGTAGTTTAATATAACTCTTGTTAGAAGTCAAGGAATATACCTGTCTTTCCAATGGAAGGTAATCTTTTTGAAGACTTTCTATAGGATTAGAGTTTGTTTTCAAATCCATATCCAGAACTACTCAAGTTGGTAGTCTTTAAAAAAAAAAAAAAGTCTTACTTAAAAATAAGCTCCTTGCACTATATATAATTGAATTATTAACAACAGAATCAGTAAGTGTCAAAGAGTAAATTGTATGTGTGATTAAAAGAACAAAGCCTACTATGTCAAAATATCAAAATTCGTGGGAGGCAGCTAATGCAGTGTTTAGAGGAAAATGCATAGCCTTAAATGCTTATTTTGGAAAAGAAGAAAGGTCTCATCTCCCTCAAAAAATTAAACCCAAAGTAAGCAGAAGAAAGAATACAATAAGGATGAAAGCTAAAGTACATTTAAAAGCCAAATGTTAGTTCTTTGAAAAGATAAACTTAAGGGCGCCGAGGTTGTGGCTTAGTGGTAGAATGCTTGCCTAGCATGCAGGAGGCACTGGATTCCATCCTCAGCACCACATAAATGTAAAATAAAGATATTGTGTCCACATAAAACTTCAAGAATAAATATTCAAAAAAAGAAAAACTTAAGAAACCTCTAGCAAGTTTAATTATGGTAAAAAGAGAAGATTCACATTAAATGTTAGGAATGACCCTGCAGGTTATATAGACATGAAAAAAAAAATCATAAAAGATGATTACAACTCTATGTCAATAAATTCAGTAATGTAGATGAAATAGACTATTAAAGGTAACTCTAGAACATATATATATATATTGACCCCCAGAACTGCAAAAAAAAAAAAAGGAAAAAATATATTACCTAAATAGTCCTAATCTACTAGGTATGCATTTGTAGTTAAAAACCATCTAGTAAGGAAATAAGGGAAATTCTGGGTCTAATTGGATTCACTAGTAAATACTAGTAAACATCTAAGAAAGAAATAAAGTTTACACAAATTCATTCAAGTGTAAAGGAGAAAGGAAAAATTTCTAACTCATTTTATGAGACTACCATTATCTTAATACCAAAACCAAAGATATAACAAAAAAACTATATACTATAGACCAATACCTCTAAGGAACATAGATGTAAAAATCCTTAACAGAGATTTAGTGAATCAAATGCAATAGTATAGAAAAACATTTGTTCATTATAACAAACTAGGGTTAAGCTCAGGTATTGTAGGTTGGTTTAGCATTCAAAATCAGTGTAAACTCACCAAAAAAGAAAACCCATAGATGCACAAATCAGTAGCTCCTGTACTAAAATATAATAACTAAAAATGTACTATTTTTTGAGTGATTTTCCGATTGACAGATGCTTTTTGTTGTTAATTTATTTGACCAGACTTACTGGTTTATTGAACTTGGAGAGAGAAAGATATAGGAGAAAGACAGTGTATGATTTCAGAAATATGTTTCTCATTTATTTATTATTATGGATTTTTATATATTGTCTTCTCACTAATGTTCAGAGTTCATGTGTATCTTATGCAGATTTTTGGAGGAGCTCTTGGTCTCCTTACAGTGGGGAAGAGAGCAGACTTACTCCCCCAGTGCACAACCTCAGAGCACAGCAGAACTTGCATTAACAAATCACAACTTAGCAAAAGCATTAAATTCTCATCTTCTGGGGAATGTTGGCATTGGCAGTCAGAAAAAGATACCATCAACAGTTGAATTCTGCAGCTCCCCAGCTGAAAAAATGGCTGAAAAGGTAAAATAGTTTCATGATCTGTGGAATTTCTATTATGATCTCTGGAATTTTACTTACTGAAAAGCAACATGTTATAATGGAAGTACTTGGCATTGGGAGTAGGGAAGTACGGGATCTAAGCCTGATTTTCATACTAATGAGCTTGTGATCATGAAGACAATTATTTTCTCCTCTGAGCTTTAATTTTCCCTACCATAACTGCTGTATTTTGAGGAGAAAAAAATGTAATTGTTTTGAAAGAGGTCCAGTTTTTTAATTTAGTAATCATTAGTGAGTTAAGTAGGTTACTTCTGATCTAAGAAATTATGTAATTCCCACATAAAAGCTGGGAAAGTGCTAAATAATACAAGATTCAAATAATGTAGACCAAGTACCTACAGTTCTGGATGAATTCAGGGCCCATGCAGGTGACCTATCAAATACTATGATCTTACAGTTCTGGGTGACAGCAAAGTTTACCTTACAACTTTAGTACCCAACTCCAGGTCCCCATGTTAGACCTTGTTATTCACTAGAACTCTTCCATTATCAAAATCTTTAACATCTTTCTCTCTGATCTGTGACTCCAATTTCTTTCTAACTCTGATTCTTCCATTTTTACTACCTGTTTCTTGATCACATCATTATTTTTATTCTCTTGATAACTATATTTTTTTCATCTTATCAGCTCACAGCCCCAACTTCTCTTCCTTCTCTGGCATGCCTAGACTTCATTTTCAAGGGCCTTGTTCCCTTGTCCTCCCCAGGTATACTCAGAACCCAGTCTTTTGTCAGTTTGCCTTCTTTGTTTCAGTACCCATCAGACCACTACCTCACATTCACCAGATGACTTTGGTTCCTGATTCACAGAAGAAGGAGAGAGTATGGGCAGAAAACTGCCCCAGAGTCCCAGTTGATGTCTGGAAGCCTACATGTATGATGACCTGCATTATACTCATTTCTTTCCGAGGGAAAGGTATTCCCCCTCTGCCCCAAGCATAGTCGCTCTCTAGGCACATCAGATTCATGAACAGTTATCCCTTCTCTCTCTGTTGACTCTTTCCTTTTCAGTTAAGAATATGCCCAGGTGTCATCCATCTAAAAGACAAGTCTCTCTCAGTAGACCCTGGGTATGGCCTCATCACCTCCCTTCACAGCCTGTTTGTCCTCGCAAGCCATCCACTTCAAAGTGTTGAAGACTCCCAGCCTCACTGTACTTAAAAAGTACTCTTACACAGGTCGTGAATGCTTATTTTGTGATCATATTTTACCCAATCAAGCATTTTTTTCCTTCAATCTCCCTTGACTTCTGTGACATTACTCTTTCTGAGCTCTTCTTTATAGACATTCTCTACATCTGCACATTTCTGCTCATTATAGAGACAGCTAAAAACGGAACAGCCTCTTTTCTCCTAGCTTTTACATTTGTATACCCCCCTAAAAAGAAGAAGAAAAATAACCTTCTTTCCTATATTCCATATCTTAGTGACTGTTCCTATTGTATATGGTATTTTCAGGATTCCATAAAATAATGCATTTAAAGGCCATAACAGTTTCTAACATACAGCAATTTCTCAGCTAATGGTAGCCGTGATTTTTATTTTTTTCCTTCAGGCTCCATTCCTGTTCATTTTACCATCTTCTTAGTTCCTTCTGATTTACACACACCCCACACCCCTACACCTGCCCTGCTCCCAAGTTCCAGCTCCTGACTTACACCCTTGACTGGGTCAGTATCCCTGGCTTTTTTTTTTTTTTTTTAAACCTGCCTCCAGGCCATCTTGAGCTCCTTTCCCAGAGGGTTGTTTTTTAAATGCCAATACAATAATCATACAGCTCCCAATCTCCCTCATTATTGAATCTAAATTTTTCATATAGTAGAGAAGAATTTTTGTAATCTTTTTTTCATCCCTCCTTCTCACAGATCATTTCACAGGTGCCCCTACCACTCTGCACTTCACATTCTAGCAGTGTTGACCATTTCTCATTCCACATACTTACCCTTGTGTTCCCATCTCCCTAGACTGCTTCCCAGCACCTGACCTGTTGCCCAGCCTCTGCACCACCTGGATGAGTCAGTTTTCTCTAAGTCTCACCGGCAAGTCTAGATGTGCATTCTGCAGGCTTCCATTGCACTAGCTCTTCATTAGCTCATATTTGTTTGATTCTCCTTCCTTATCCCAAACCATGAGCTGCTTAAGGGGTAGGGAATATGTCTTTGTTTCCTCAAGGTGTGGAATCTGTTGTACATAGTAGGGACTCAACTATTTACTGAATGAATCAGTGCTTAGAACTATACTTATCACCTTTATCAAAAACATTGTTTCCTTTTTTCTACTATTTGTTGGGAAATTATGTCAATGCATACTTGGTTGCTACCAGGAACATTTGGAGTAATGGACCACTCTCTCTTTTTTAAAGTACTTTCTTCCCTTGTTTTTTTCCTATGCTACAATTTCCTGTGTTTTCTTTTATCTGACCATTCTATTTCAGAATATTGGCGATTCTCAGGGCTTGATCAAGATTCCCTTGTTCTCTTAGTCCTTTATCCCATCACATTTTCCCATTTAACAAAACTGATAACACTTCTTCCTTAGGATTTCTTGAACCTTTCAGCCCCATTACCTCAAGTTGCCATTATTTTTTTTCCCCCAGAGATACACACGAGAGTTTATTTGTCAGAGCTGACAAATAAAGGCACATGCCTCCATAGTGAAGAGAGGCCAGTTGCCATTATTTTTTAATCAGAAAATTGCAGTGATTTACCTTTCTGTCTTTTTCCCTTGTCTGCCCTAATGCCTCCTCCTTTTCCCATCTTCCACACCATGTATAGCATGATCTTTGAAAGGGACATTGCTTAAAAATCAATCCTTGTCACTTTTAGCCTAACATCCAGAAGCATTTCTATCCATTCTGATGTCTCAGTCTCCTGTTGAATTTCCTAAGCATTTTGTTTCTCTCTAAAGATCCATAATGTGACAACATATATAGGGTATTTGAAAACTTTATTGTCCCCTCCAAATTTATAAGTAACTTTAAGCCTCTCTTCTTTGCTTGTTATATTTAACTAGGTTGCGTAAAATGGAAAGATCTCAAAAACTAAATTGAAAAAGCACAGTTTATTTGAAAAATAGAGGTCCTAAAATAGAATGATGGCTTTTAAGTAATGCTGGGATATTCTTAAAGTAGCGCTGGTGTGGGTGTGGTGGTAACTTAGAAGGATAAAACAATCTTCTAGACAACATCAGAGCAGGGAAATGGGCCTCTTCAGCAATTCTTGTAAGCTCCCTTGAATAAGCCCTCCAGAGAGAAGGACTTTTCTCTGGTTGCTTTCACAATTTCCTTCCAATTGCATTGCCTACCTACTTTGAAACATAACTCATATTCATCATGTGACAATTATTGGGAGAATATGAATAAGAGATAGAAGAGCTGTGAGCCAGACGTGTTATCTTTATCTTTATAAACATGTTAGAGAAATATTTTCAATCCAAAAGTTCCTGCTTTGATTATCAGTAAAGGAGACTAAACAGGAAAAGTCAGGGTGAAGAATAGGGAGAGTGATAGTATTATGGAATGCAAGAAATGAAAACATGATTGTTAACACAAACTATTGCATGTAAGTTGGAAAAAGAGAAATGAAAAGCCATTTATTTTACAAATAAAAACTAATTATACTGCAAAATAGCATTTGATAAAAGAATGAAAAGCAAAATCTTGATTTTAAGTAGTTGAATGAAAGATTAAAGAAGACATAGTGAACACCATTTACTTAAAGATAAAAATTGACATCACAAGGTAGAATTGATGTAAGCTCATTTTCTGTTTTTATTCCTGTCAGTATTCATAAAAGAGCATTAATTTTATCATTCTTAAAAAAACATGTAACAGTGTAATTAATAATAACTAGGAATTTTTGTTAAATGTATGGTTGCGGGGGGATAAGTTCTCAAATTCATCCTTCAGATGTGATTTTTATAAGAATTCCATATTAGTGAACTGGAACTTTATAGGTAGTCATACATCAGTGAAATGAAAGGCTTTTATAGTTCATACTACATACGTCTAATATTACCTCTTGTTTTCCTTAGGTTCTACGCATTTTGGATCCAGTCACCTGTACAGAAAGCTCACCTGATAATCTATTTTCTCCGTCTTCACCAACCACATTACTTGCTACAAAGAAAAATATTGGACGATTTCATCCCTATACTAGATACGAAAATGTAACTTTCAATTGCTGCAATCACTGCCAGGGAGAACTTATTGTCCTTTAATATTCCATATGTTGGAGGCATGTCCAAGAGTCATTTTTATTTGGGAGTTGGGTTCTTATAATACAAGGTAATGTCACTTCCTCTTTACATATCATATATCTACAAAGATATTTTATGTTCTGGACTTCAGATTATCCTTTCTTAATAAATATCTCAGGGTACAAAAGCAAACCGTGTAGGTATGTTTAGAGTACAGGATAATATCCAGGCAAACACAATGTTTATGCCAAAAGACTCAAAAAGATTTTCTACCTGTCTTTGAGGCCCAAAATTATTATTCTTATATTATTCATCATTCTATAAGAAAATGTTTCATTTGGGTGCACTACTGCAGACAAACTAAATCCATGAGTCAAATGTCACCATACCCATTCATCTGCTATTGCCTAAGCTGGTTTTGAACAACAGCAGAGTAGATGCGGCAGGACTTGTAGACCCTTGAAGGATTGTTCTTTACAGAAAAAAATTTCTAACCCTTACATAAAAATAATACCTGGGAGACAGGGTGAAGAGGTTTCAATCATTTTTGCCGCAGTCTGGCTCGGCACAATTCAGGAGCCACTTGTCAAAAGAAACGAACTTTATTTTTAGAATACACAGCACACCACACACCTCCTCAGGAAAAACTCTCAGAGGCCAACTGCCACCACCAGCTTCCCACAAGCCTCTCAACCTCCCCCACTCCTCCTGCTCTTGAGGCTGATTGGCTGGGTCATGTGGGTGGAGCCAAAAAAAGTCCCCCAATGAGCAGCTCCGTGGTCTGAAAGGGTGGGGAAACAGCCCAATGAGCATCACTGCAGAGGAGCCAATCAGTTGGCAGCTAGAAGTTTGCTGGGGCCGCTGTGAGCCAATCATCAGCTGAAAGTTTGCTGGGGCCCCTTCTGCTGTGGCTCTCAACATCTCCCCCTCTCTGTTTAAACAACAAGCATGTGGCTTAGGAATCCTGCCTGCCTTAGGTTGTCCAATACTACATATGGTCCTTACCCATCATCAGATGAGCTGACCTCAAGGCATCAGCCTCCTGTCTTAGGTTGGTACCATTGCAATTGGATCTTACCCGTCATTGACTACCGGTCCAGCATACAGCCACACCTGTGGATAGGTCTTTGTACCAGAGGGGGGGTGAGGTTCTTTGCCTCACCTCTGTTGGCCCCCAGATTTTAGCTGAACGACCATGACAAGCAGAAGGGAGGAAGACACACCAAGCCAATTGACGGCTCCTTTTGGAAAAATTGTACCACCGATGACACCATCACCAAAATACCCCAACACTACCACAAGTCGCTGCACCAACAGATAGTTCACAATGCGTACAAGTGATACATAGTCCAGGGAAGTTCTGCAAGCAGTTCAGTGATGGCTCCTTTTGGAAAAATTGTACCACCGATGACACCATCAGCAAAAATACCCCAACACTACCACAAGTCGTTGCACCAACAGATAGTTCACAATGCATACAAGTGAGTTCACAATGCATACAAGTGATACAAGGCAAGTTCTGCAAGCAGTTCAGTCATGGCTATTGCAGAAGCTGTAGATTGGTTTTATCTTTGTCTTCACCGGCACTGGGATGAAGATAGGAATTCTGGCAATAATGGCTAAGGAAAAAATTATGTAACATTCCAGAAGGCACTAAAAACAATTTTCTTAACAATTTACATTATCTTGAACAGAATTATTAAATATAATGAAAATGAAACGTGAAAGTAAACAGATCTGTTAACCTCCTTTTTTTTCACGTATTAAAACAATCCTCAACAGCTGTTTACCCAATTTAAATTAAACCATTTAAATCACGTGAATAAAAAAAATATTTGGATCCATTTTTTCATGAGTGCTCATCATATGTGATATATGGACATACGTACATACAAACATACAACATAAAACACAAGTGTGCACACATAATACATACAACACATAACATAATAGTAAAGGCCTTATAACTTTTTACAGGTGAAATCTCCATTGCAATGTTTAAAAACTCTATAGACAAAAACTAGAACTGATCAGCAAAACATTAAACTAGGTCTGTATGAGCTCAAAAAACAAAATAGAACTTCATGATGTGGGAAAGGGCAATAATAAAATACATATTGAAAAAAGCATCCTGGTTCTGTCGCATATGTAAGGATAGCCAAACTGGAGTTTTGGATATCAGCTGTTATGGATTTGAGCCAAATCATCTTCTTTTTGGTCTTTAGAAATCACTTTAGTTAATCTCTCTGGAATCCAAATCGGCTGCTGTTCTTCTCCCTGTGGAAACATACAAACAGACCTCCGACTCCAGACAATTACTGGGTGAGGACCTTTCCATTGTCCTGTTAGAATATCCTTCCAAAGTACCTTGGGCTTATGTATATTTTTTGGACACATATGCCTTTCTGCAGCACTAAGTCCTGATGAATCCAAATTTAAAAAGTTTAGAGTAAAAAGGGTTATTTTAAGTTTATCTTTGGGGAATATATACCCCTTCCCAATTCCCTCTTTTTGCTTTAATAAGTACATTTTAATAGTTTGATGGGCTCTTTCAACTATGCCTTGTCCCTGTGGATTGTATGGGATTCCTGTTATATGAGTAATGCCAAATGATGAGCAAAATTGTTTAAAAGAGGTAGAAGTATAACCAGGGGCATTATCTGTTTTTAACTGTTTTGGAAGGCCCACAGTGGCATAATGTTGTAAGCAATGAGCTATAATATCTTTAGTTTTTTCTCTGGCATGAAGGGAGCCCATCAAAAATCCGGAAGAAGTATCAACTGTAACATGCAAATATTTTAATTTTCCAAATTCTGGCAAGTGTGTGACGTCCATCTGCCAAATATGGTTAGGTATCAGTCCTCTAGGATTGACTCCAAGATTAACTTGTGGTAAAAAGGTCACACAATTTTGACATTGTTTTATTATTTGTCTAGCTTGTTCCTTAGTTATTTTAAAACGCTTTTGTAAAGTATTAGCATTGACATGGAACTTTTTATGAAAATTTGTAGCTTCTTCTAGTGTAGAGAAAATATGTATGTCGTGTAGTTTTTTTTTTTTTTTAATATTTATTTTTTAGTTCTCGGCGGACACAA